AATTACAAAATTATCTGAAACTGAAATTTCTTAACGCGTAGGTACAGAGCAATCATCCACCAAACGCCGCCATTTTTCAAACTTGGAGCGCTGGACATGTTAATCTATCATCGTTTTTGGTACCTGGCCATGTTATTTCATTAAAAAAAAAGAGTCGAGGAGGGAGGACATCAGAGTGACGTCATAGCTTCACAATTATTAAAATTTATACAGTAACCCGACCGACTGTTATTTTTGGCAAAATTATACATTTTTTTGTTATATCCCTACTTTTTTTGGACCAGAAAGTATTATTTTCCCAAAATTTTCTCCAATTTGCTGTAATTAAAGCATTTACTTAATTTTTTCACAACGCATTGCGAAAAAAAAACATGCAGTCTTCGGTGGCTTCGGCGTCTGTTAGCAAGGTTACTTGAAAACGTATCCTATATCCTATATCCTAATACGATGTGTCATGTGACTTTCTTGAAACCGTATCTCATTTGTTATTCTCTGGGATGTCATGAAACCTGTGACTATTTTTTTGTATTCAACATGGTAGCGATGTTGTCAGCTGTGCTTGTTAGAACAGAGTACGTGAAGTGTAAACACATTTCGGCGGTTACAAAAATTACAAAAGTTCCAACCTTGTCGACTTTCGATCGTCTGTCTTTCAAGGATATCCATATATGTAAAATGTTTCATTTAGTGTTCATTTAGGCGGTGCAGAGATCGAGCGGGCTAGCGGTATCACCGTCGGCGATGTACTGCAGATGTCATCGTGCAAGACCGAGGCGTTCCTTTTAAAAATGTAACGACGACTCTGACAGAGACGGGGATTCATGTCAGTTATATGTCAGAAATATTCTATGAACGCATTTGAATGTTTAATGGCAGGTGGGAGAGGATTTGTAGAGTAAAAACAATCAAGGTGAGTTTTAGGGGTTTTTTTGGTGAAATTTGTAAACAAACGATTCGCAGGTGTTTGACTATGGAGGTAAAAGTTCATGCGTTCTACGCAAATAACCTGGGGCAAAAATATTTTGAAAACACAAGGCAAAATAAATTTTAAACGGTTATAGTAACATTCTACATATACGGCAAATTCAGTACTCAAAAAGTTACAATAATTTATATTAATGCAAGGAAATGACACAGACACACAAGGTTGGCGTGAAAACGTGAGGGGGTGCAGGACTTCAGCGCAAGCGTCTTGGCGACCTGTCTCTTGACGCGATTCTCAGATTCGAATCACGTCAGTAGAGGGTAACGTGGTACTTGACTGAAGACTGCCACCGCAGAGGTCTCCACCCATGCGTCGTCGCGGATACCAGTCCCCAGGGGCAAGTCTGGCTGTTTGACTTGGCCCCTGGAGAGGGGCAGCGTGGTACATGAGCGGAGCCAGCATGCACTGCGATGGCGACCCCCCCGCACAAGCTTTATTGCAAAATTGAAGCACGATAATTTTTTTTTTTTACAATCATTGTACCCAAAAGGGTTGGGTGGGTGGGAAAATGACGAGTTGTAAGCAGGCTGCTTGCAGGAACGAGAATGCTAGTCTCATTGCAGCTATGTACGCAAGGCAACTTGGTGACGCTAAGGTTTGAATATTAAGCAGGATTATGTAAAGCAGAACTTAAATGTCAGGGTTCACAGAAACAATACCAATGTTGTTATATAATGTTATATAATATTGAACTTGATT